GATAAAATCCCACAAGCGCAAACGAAACTATTTCTCTATAAAGTTGAGCTGAAAGGACTCACAGCGATCGTTTTGGCAGTGCTTCAGGCGCCCGATGACATTGTATGAGGGGCCTTTAACACTGCCAACTTTTCTCATCTTGAGATGGTTCACGTTATCGCGTGTACTTGTCAGGATGACAAAGGATTGCGAATAATGTCTGTGTGCACTAATACACGCTGCATTATTTTTAATAATGCTGTGTGCTATTTTAGCCCGTATAAACATTTACCCCTGGGAATTTCCCTACAATCAAAAAAGACCGCTCCCGTTTTTCAGAAGAACGCTAAAACTTCTCGACATTCGCTGATATAATGCAGAGAGAAAACAATAGGTTATTATGACCGTCAGTAATTATATAGTGTGAAGGACTGACCACAGCAATGGATTTAGTTATATATACAGTATAGGGGTTTTTTGACGCTCCATGAAAAGCTTTTACTAATGGTGGAATGAAATAATTTTAACTTATGGGATTTTAGTGAAGCGTTTAATATAATTTGCACAGCCTATAGTGGACTTATACCATGCGGCTTGTTATTATGCAGGGGGTCTTTCATTGAAATGTCAGAAAAACAATTGAAACACTGTTTATAATTCCTTCTAAACAAATTTTAACAATAGACTAATTTGAAAATATTGTACAAGTATTCAGTATTTCAATCTGAACGCTTTATTCCGGTCGGTGATGTTATCTTACAGATAAGGTTATGTTTTATAGAACGTTTCCGATATATTGCTGTTTAAAAATAGAGTAGCATTCATTTATTATTGATTGCTCAAACAAGGGTGGTATTAATATATATCAAAATATATAATTGCAAACTTGATAATAGTTAGGCTGAATTCGAAAGTATAGGTATTGCAAGATGTCTATTATCTTAATCTTTATATCTGTCCATATTCTATAAACGTGCTAACTGGCTGGCATGCATGAATCTTTGTGAGCTATAGTGTGAAGGACTGACCACAGCAATGGATCTATTTATATACAGTTTAGGGTTTTTTCAAGCTCCATAACAAGCTTTTATCCCTGGTGGAATGAAATAATTTTAACTGACCCCTTCAATTATGGGATTTTAGTGAAGCGTTTAATATAATTTGCACGGCCTAGTGGAGTTATACCATGCATACAGGTTGTTATTATGCAGGTGTTCTTTCATTGAAATGTCAGAAAAACAATTGAAACACTGTTTATAATTCCTCCTAAACAAATTTTAACAATGGATTAATTTGAAAATATTGTATAAGTATCAGTCAGTAATTCAATCCGAACACTTTATTCCGGTCGATGATTTTATCTTACAAATCAACTAAGTATATGTTTTTATAGAATATTTCATATTGCTGTTTAAAAATAGAGTATAGCATTATTATTGATTGCTTAAACAAAGGTGGTATTAACATATATCAAAAAATATAATTGCAAACTTGATAATAGTTAGACTGAAATTATATAGATATTGCATGCAGTATTATCGTAATCTTTACAGGCTATATCGGTCTATATTCTATATTTAACGTGTAACTGCATGCCTTGCATGGAATCCTTGTGAGCTATAGTGTGAAGGACTGACCACAGCAATGGATCTATTTATGTACAGTATAGGGATTTTTTGAAGCTCCGCGACAAGCTTTTACAACTGGTGGAATGAAATAATTTTAACTGACTCCTTCAATTAAGGGATTTTAGTGAAGCGTTTAATATAATTTACACGGCCTACTGGACTCAGGGGCGCACATTAGGGGGGGTGTGGGGGGGGTGTGACACCCCCCATGTTTTGTGAAATATATCTAAAAAGTCGGTCCCAAAACCTGAATGGGACGAAAAAGTCGGTCCGCGGCTAAAATCTGAAAGATATTATCATTTTGTGTTGAAAAAAGTAATAGGTGGACATTCTGGACATGGAAGTTGCATAAACATAAGAAAGACGAATTAGACAAAGAAAAACGAATTAGACATACACAAATTAGAGTTCACTGACACAAACCAAGAGAGCAACTAATCAACTTCCATGTTACAACAGTTCAACCAACGTAATGCGATCCGATTACCTCAAGCCCCCGCGATGCAGATAAAATGTGCATTGTTAGTCTTGTCGTAAAAGCGGAAACTTTGGAAGGCAGAAGTATATCAGCGGCGTAGCCAAGATGGGGGCTCGGGGGGCTCTGCAATGGGCATAAGGACTGCCCTTGTGGAAAGCTGAAATCCGGGCAGAAATTGAGGTGGGGGTACGATGTGTGAATAATGATACCCATCTCTTCTGTTTGCCATAAAAGTTGAAGTCTTCCCTACCTAGAATCCTAACTCCAGTAAAAAATGCCTATGGTTGCTTTAAAGCACATTTGAACTTGAATTTGTGCTCAAGGCGATACTCATGACCGACTTCTACAAAAACGAAGACATGATGCTATTTTGCTGTTGTATTTGCGTGTACAATGCTATGTTTTACATAAATATTTTTTTCGATCTAACAACATTAGGCGACTTAAAAATGTCTTTTTGTGGTTGTAACTTTTCTTCAAACCTTGTCCTAAAATACGTGAAATAGCGTTCTAATAAATCTAGAAATTCAAAATTTTCCTCGCGCCTACGGCGCTCGCATTCGAAATTCATAAAAATTCCCCCCCCCCCCTCCAAATGTTTAGACCACTGCAAAAGTTCTGGAAAAAACTGAACGTTTATTTAAACTCTATACATAAATATTTTTTCGATCTAACAACATTAGACGACTTAAAATGCCTTTTTGTGGTTGTAAC